ATGATTTTATAAAATACAGGCACTCCACCCTCTATTTCCTGTCTCATATGGAGATGCTGTATCGTGGATGTATTGTATGTAATGCACACCACTGGCCACCAGAGGTCAGACTCCAATGATGAAAGCATAGACTGTATACACAACAGTGCCCAAAAAGTGAGGCCAAAACATCTCGTTTGCCCCCTGATGACTGGTCACAGTATAGGTCATAAACCCCACCCCCTCAATTCTATAGGATGCAACATGGGCCAAACTAAAAACTCAAGGTACATGTTAATCCTAGTAAAGGTAGCTTTTATTATTCTCATGTGTGTTCAAATGTTTGTTTTTCTGATAAGTTTGTTTTTAGTTATTTGATGCCATAAAATGGGGTTTGATGACATGACTGACAGCTGTGTGTGCCAATCAGCGAGCTTGCACTGCTCACGATTGGTTGAACAGGAATGTACTGAGTCTACAGTAGCTCAGAACAGACAAACCAAACACTGACTTTAGATAGGGAGCATTTGCATTTTGTGTGGGCCACCATGTGTGGGCCACCATAGTTCTTCAACTCGCTTGGCAAACGGGAGGTTTCAGTTGGTTGCAATGTTGCAACCTCACCACTAGATGCCACTAATTCCTTTCCACTAGACCTTCAAGGGTTGATTTAGACCAAACCAGAGGTGGTGATTGTTGGAACAGTGGACTAACTGTGTAGACAACTGACAAGACTTACTGAGACAGTTTTGAGTTTTATTTTATTTGTGTCAAGTTTGAATAAAGTTCATGAGTTAACAAGGCAACTAAGCTAACGTTAGTCTTAGTAAAAACTGGGATTCGGAAGGTGTACAGTTGTATTTCTCTGTTTATCAAGAAATAAAGGTACAAGAATATTACCTTCCTTGATATTTTGTAAGTTTATATTGTTTATTTATTAGACTGAAAAAGCCAAGAGAGGTTGCGTAACGAAGCAAACTGACCATTTCAGGGGGGGCCATCAGTGCTGTATACAAATACCTTCACATATCCTATGTCCCTGTGAAATTTCAGAAAGGTATAAAGGTATGAAAAATACCACCCAAGCCAAAGATAGACACCTTATTTTGCTGTAGTTTAGTTTCAGTATTTTTTTTTCACAGAGCACCTGATTGTTCTAGAGCACAAAGACATTACTGAAAGAATTTGCTGGCCTCTCCCCACTGACACATTTACCTTCATGAAACTAAATCTGCCTCTAAGCAACCCCTCCCCCTTCCAACACTCCCTTGCACACAAGCTGTTTGTCTGTGTGCATTGCTTCCAAACACATTGTACAGAGTATCCATCTGCCAGCACAGACAGAAAGATGACACTTCAGTCACACAGTGCAAATCCATGTCTGGTCGCACGTCTTGCCACCCAGCACGTGCTTGACAAATGGCAACATGCAGGAAGAGGCCAACTTCAACATCAACCCCAAGCAGTACAAAATGTTCACAGCTTGATAACATGGCAGCTAAATTCAGATTAAAACAGCTTTGGGAACTGTTTTATTGTTTCAAATACTAAGTTTCACCAATTACAGCAAGTACAGTATACAAATTCTTTCTTGTTGGAGTCATGTATTGTGGCCTTACGGGAATGATGTGGGGGTGGATTGGTAAATGCTGTATGTATGTATGCTGTATGTTGTGTGTGTGTCCATTCTAATGTAGTGTATAGTATGTTTTGTTTTGGACCCCCTTGAAAATGAGATAGGTCATCTCAAGGGGTTATCTGCTCATAAACGTTCCGAAATATCTGTCATTCCAGAGGTACTAACTAGTTTCCCAACCCTAGCCAAGTATTCAGCCAATTCCAGCCAAGTGTAACACAATTGTAAGACAGCTTTGGCCCATACATCTTTGTAAGATTTGGCCAGGTTTTGGGGGTTGTGCCAGTTGTGGCAGAGAATCAGCCCCTTTTAGCAGCACTTAAACTGCAGTTTGCTCCCAGAATTGCACAAGTCTACTTTAGGTATTTCTGATTCACCATTCATCACGCATCTGGCATGAGTTTGGCAGCTAGATTTGGATCTAGACTGCTGATCAGCTTTATCAGATGCAGTTCATGCAAATACTGTGACAACATCACTCGTGACAACTCTTTATTTAAATTTGTTCATCAAAACACTGACTCTCTGAAGGACTTGGCCAACTCCAGCACTATTTGTAGTGCCGTTTGGAGTGAGTCTGTGGTTGCTTTATGCCGGCCACAAAAAACACAGCCTGAAAGACTGACTGGCAGAACATGAATATGTAATCAGAACTCCAAAACCGCAATTATCCCCTGGGACAGCACTTCAGAGATGCAGGCCACAAGGACCCACACTCACTGAAAGTTCATGTTTTTGAAGTAACAGGTCTGGGGATGGGAGGTGGATGGAGGGTTGGCAGTTGACAGATTCAAACATCTCGTATGGTGTGAGACCTTTTGGATCAAAACCCTCAGGGCCACTTCTCCCTCAGGCCTAGATCAGGAAGGTGGCTTTTCCTCTTTCCTGTGATGTAATTGTCTGTTTTAAAGCCTGGAAATGTGATTAGTTTTAGAATGAGAAATTTTTGAATCATGTGAATACACAAAAATCCATCTCTTGGATTGATAGATTTTAGTATTTTTATTGTGTTTCCTGGCCAGTTCAATATGACTGCCTCTTTGTTATATCCATATGTGATTTAATTATGCTTGTACTGACCTCCCTGCAATGACATACTGTATTCCTGTTATGTTTTGGGAGTCTGGTCATGGGAGATGCATTGGCTTTGGGCATCCTGATGAATGGCTTTTCACATCTCTCTTTTTATCTTCTTATCTTCTGCCTTTACAAGCTGATTTAAATTATGTTACATTCTGAACTTGACAGATGCATTTTCTTTTCAAGGAATATTACAATCATTAGGCTACATTCACACTTATATGTTTTCATTTTAAAACGCATTGATATTGCTACATTTATGTAGCTTCCACACTACTCAGGCATTTTGGAGCCCTTAAAACAGAGACCTTTGAAAATGTTAATGACCCAGTTTTAGTTTGATAACTCTGGGACTGCATTTTAAGACTTTTTGCAAACAATGATGCAGACACCCACCTCCTGATCGGGTCTTGTGAGTCATGTTCCAAGTCAAAACATCATAGATATGTCTACATACATTTTATGAGTTCATCCTTCTTGTGTGGATACTCCTCTCCCATTGCCATGGCTTCCTCTGGCAATGTATAATGCTCCCAGCCATATTTGCTTTGCACTCCCAATCTGTTTTCTGATGCCTTGTATCTGTTACTTTAAGTAACAGTTCCACCTCATCGTCGTTTATGGGAAAAAAATCTCTGGTCTTCCTTTTTGCTATCTCCATAGTATTTTCTATTTTCTATCACTCAGCAACTAATTGTAGACAATCTGCATTCTGTTTATATCAGCACGTGTATGCCCAGTGTATGTGAATGCGAGATGTATTTTCAAGCGTATCAGTATGGACAGAGATTATTTCTGAAACAGTGCCAGGACCTTAGTGTGTACACAGATTGTTTTCATTTTAAAATGTTTGTAAAGAATTAAGTTTTAAAAGGAACTGGGCCAGTTCAGAATTAAAAAATACACCTACCAGTACTACTAAAGATCACTAAATCAATCAATCACTAGTTTGCCACATGGAATTATGCTCTGAATGGTGTACAGCAGTGATCCACAGCAGGAACAGGACAGCACCTCACAATCCCCCCATCACACCAGTCCTTATTCAGCATTAAGCACATGCCTCCTCTCGGCATTTAGAAAAAAAGCCTCCTGGTTGAATGGCGCGGAGATTGTCAGTTTATTTTCCACCCGTACAATGATTAGCAGGATGCTAGTTCAGCTGATGCCATCTTCTCCATCTTTTCCGCAATGTTTACTGATGTTTACATTTGAAAACCTAAACCTGGTTATCTGGCAGCAAAGTAGAGGTCAGCAGGAGGAGAGTTTACAGGCTGGTGAGTTGATGTCCCCATCCTGATGAGTGACTCTCAACTACATGCAAACACCAAAGGCAAATACAAAAAGCACCACCAAGACTTGCAAAATAGATTAAATAGATTCTACCAGCCTAAATTTAGCACAAACATAGCACAAATAGCAGAGCTGACTGGAAGCGTCCGCCTATCTAATCAGTTCAATCCATACAAAAACAGAAATGTAAAAATTATTTCCTTGAAATCAAAGCAGGGAGCAGTCACTCCCTGCAGTTGCTCATCAAGAAATATTTACACTACATATTTCCCCCAATAACCACACATTGTGCATTTTACATTCCTGTTTGTTTAAGGATTACCTGCTTCCTGTCTTCATGCTTAGCTAAGTTAATCAGCTACTGGCTCTGGTTCCACATTCAATCTACAGATATAAGATCCAAGAAGTAACCATCATCTCATTTAAAATCCAGAAAGAAAGAGAATTTCCAGAAATATCAAATTATTACTCAAAGAAAAAAAAATAAACTACTTTATCAACATTTTGAATTATCAGTGCTTCTGGAGAAATATTATTTTGTTGGAATAATGTTATACTATATGCTATACTATTTGAAAAGGGTCCCGGTGATGTTCTTCACTGTATTTTGTATTTATTCATATTTTTCATTGACGCATGGATATATTATTAAAGATGTTTCTCATATGTTAGGATTATCGGTCATATGTTTTGAATATTCTCCTCTGAATTCTATGTTTTTATGTAGAGCCTTTGCTTTGCTGCAGCAGTGACCCAGTTTCCTCATGGGGATCATTAAAATTTAATCTTTTCTCATCTTGGATTTCAATTAGATGTCTGAGCTCCATTCTCATACTGTGTATTTTGTGGAGTGAGTTAAAGTGTTCCTTACTGCTGTATGATAGATGCAAAAATCACCACCAACTCAAAATCACCACAGGATTTGATTCCTGCTTGACACTAACTCCTCTTGTGTTTACTCTTCTCTCTCCACTCCTGTCTCTGCTGTGCTCTCTCTTCCCACTGGCACCAGTTGGAGGCCTTCTACTCCATCTTCACCACAGAGCAGCAGGACCATGTTAAGTCTGTGGAATATCTGCGCAGCAACTTCAGGCCCATCCAGAGCTTGGACAACCGCCACGTCTTTAAGTCAGCAGTCAAAGATGCCTGGCTGCCCGACCTGACTGACAGCAGTAGCGGGCCATACGGCACAGAGGCTTCCAAAGGTAGGACTGCTGAGACAGGAGAAGTTTCAAATGTACTTTTTGACTTCTTCCCTATTGCCATAAATGTCCTTAAAAGAATCTGGAAACTATACAGAGCCTCTTTTTACCCAACACTATGATAAAGATAGTTTTTATTATACATATCAAAATATTCAGCAGTGTATTTTGGTAGTTGTTGTGCTTGTCAATCTATATTTATCTTATATTTTTAAAGTTTTAACTCTTCAAACTGTACACCGATGCCACTAGCTGACATAGAATGAGGTAACACTCAGCCTCGTCGTAGGTGTTTCAGATTGAGGTCTGAGGTCATGTGTTTCACAGTACAAAGAGTCTTAGTATCACTACTTGGAGCAATGTTCTTGTCTTCTTTCTTACAGTGAAATCAAAATATTTAGAGTATTCCCCATCACCCACTGTAAAAAAATTTCCATTTTCCAAACTAGCTTTTTGCTTTGAGACCTGCGTGTGCAGCATGGCAGTTACGAAAATGAATGTCAGTACAGGTAATAACAAAAGTAACGTTATAACAACTTGTTTGGTTTTGGGGTAACTGTAATATTGATTCTCAAATTTTATCAATAAGTAGTTACACTACTCGTTACTGGAAAAAGTCATTTTATTACTGTCCAACACACCGGTAAAACACTGAATAAAGCAGTTTCACATTAAAATTCAGGGCCTCTCAAACACTTATTCACCTCATCATGAAGGGGCTTCTAGCCCGGCTCCTGTTGCTTACCTTTTTGTCACTGATAACTTCTAATCCAGACGTTCTAGAGGCTTCTACCAGGAGCTGAATTATCCACAGAGGTCTCTACCTCTCTAAAACAAACAGACCCAGTGATTTACATGAGTAAAAATAATGAATAAAGCAGTTTTGCATTAAAAATCAGTGTTTCTGCGATGCTGTTCAGAGGGGCTGCTGGCCCAGCACGTGCTTATGTGCGCTCACTTTTATACATCTTTTAACTTAAAATGCAGACATTCAGGAGGTTTTTAATGTGAGCTATATTATTCGCAGAGGTCTCCTCCTCCTCTCCAAAAAAAACCAGAGCCACTGATTTGAAGCAGTAAAAACACTGAATAAAGCAGTTTTACATTAAATATCAGTGTTTCCTGCTGTTCAGCATGGCAGGGGTTGATGCTAACGTTTGCTCAGCATGTGTCTCTGATAACTTATGATCCAAATGTCCAATGACCAAATCCTTCATCAAGTTAATACATAGTTACAAAGTTACAAATTATATCTTTAATCTGAAATATAAATGTATTTGATATTTTAGGTTCTAAAAGGAGGAACACATGCATCAAGAGTCTGATGTGCTCCTACATATTACTCAGACTACATTGCTTGTTTTAAGACTACAGATTGTTCACTTTATTCCTATTATATCTGCACGTGAAAAAATGTCCAACTTTATCACTAAGACACTCTCTCAGTGCACTGTGCTATCTCTTTATTCTACCCACTGATAGCATTGTTTAAGTTTCCCCTCTTTTCTCTCTGAACTGGTCCAATATTCTCATATTATTCCTGGATAGTGACATTTCCTAATGTTAATAAATGAGGGATATTCAGTATTGCTCATATGCCCAGAGGAAGCTGATTGTCTTCTGTGTGTGTGTGTGTGTGTGTGGTCTGTGCTAGCTCTCTGTCATTTCATCAGCGGGCTGGGTAACTCCCCTAGCATAAGGCAGTGGGAGGCACACCAGCCGTCCTCCCACTCCTGCCTCATTACCACTCAAACAACACCACACAGTGTGCACAGTCTGTGTATGTGTGTGTGTATGAATGCATGTGTGTGAGTGTGCACGTGTTTCTCTGTGTATTTGTAAGTGTTTGCGCGTGGCCCAGCATCTGTGCTGTGTCAACCGTCCTAGCAGGATTTGTCCCCTCCCTTCCTTCATACACACTTCCATATGGTCGACTAGGGGAGAGGTGCATCACCTAGATACACAAACCCACTCTCAGGCAAGTACTGTATATGTGTATGTGTTGTCCTGGCACAGTGTGCTGCATACTCGTGTAGTATGTCCTTGAGCGCTGCAGTGGGACATGTTTGCTGTAAGCAGATCTATATGGCTGGCAGAGGAAATGCAGAAGAGGCAGATGAGGAGGAGGAGGAGGAAGGACAGCTGGGGAAAATAGCAAAGAGAAGAATTGGAGCAGTAAAAACATAGCTACAGCTGAGTGGGCTAGAAATCTGTCCATGTATGTGCGTGTTCACCTGGTCTGTAAGCCCTCCTCACCTCACAACATTCAAACACACAGGTGGTGCTGTAAAATGAAAACCTGCACAAAACCTATACAGCAGCAGCTGAATTGCATGAGTCATTTTCTTTCCTGTCCCCCCTCCCTATGCTAATTTATTCCATTTTACTGAGGCTCAGCCCAAACACCATCCTGCTGCTGGTGATTGTTTCCCATCAGCAATGATGGTTCATTTACTTTTGTGTCCCTGAATGACTGGCAGCCTCACATTTAGTGAGGCAGAATGACAGATAATGGTGTTTTGGTGTTCGAACTACATCCCAACATTTTGAGAAATATACATGTCTTGTGTTTCGAAGAAAAACCTAGCTCAACACACTGACTGGAGTCAGGGGAAACTGCTAGCTTACTCTTCCCACTGCACAAAAACCCACAAACGCACGCTAACATCTGGCTTTGGTATGTATTGGGAAAAGTTACAATTGGCATTCACACCCCAGGAGTCACGGGTATTTATCGGCTCAGGCTCCGCTTGACAGTGATGGAATTACAACACCCGGGTGAATGCACTAATTTTAGCCACTTTACTGGCGAGATACAATGACACACCACCACAAAATACCATCCATCATTCAAACATTATTACAGATGGTCACATAGTTTTCAAGGGAGACAGAAGTAAGAGATATACAAAAATAAGTAACCACCGTAACATTGTCATTGGCCTCCAAGCTGCTTTTTACAGTTTACTAACCTGAAAAAATGAAAGGTGCTTCTGGATAACTACTTGTATTGTTACATAAGTGATTATCTACTACACTGCTTCTTTTAACTTAACTTAACAATTTGTATAATAGCAAACACATGTCTACAGCTCCCGTGATTTATTTATTTATTTATTTTTTCTTTTTCAATTTTTCAATGCAGTGTGCAAAGTACATCTCATGACTGTTGTCCATGGTTTTCCCAGTTTTTTTCAAGATTATTTTTTGTGCTTTTAGATATTAGATAGGACAGTTTAAGTGTGAAGGGGGAAGAGAGAGGGGATGACATGCATCAAGGGGCAGCAGGCTGGAATCGGGTCCACGGCTGCTGTGGCAAGGACATTGCCTTCGTATATGGGACACCTGCTTTACCCACTAGACACCAGGTGCCCTAGTTTTCCCAAATTTTTAACTGCAAATCTCTGCTGTTTTTATTTGTTTTAAAATTGTCCAAAATTCTGATAGCCCCTCCCTGCCCTTCTGTTGTGCAGCCAGATCTGGACTAGCTTTAAACTCTTTAAACCCACCATGGTTTTTAAAGCCTCATCATATGAAACAAACAACAATATTAATCAATACTTATCTAGAAACATGATGTGAGCAGCATACTATTGAGCAATGCTATGTTTCATGGCTAAATTTGAAGTAATTTGCATGATTCAGATTTTTTCATTCTGATTTCAAGGTTTGGTCCGAGCCCAGAAGTGCCAGTCTCTGTAAATAAGACAGGTTTAGGATTTTTTTTTCTCTTAAATTAGGCTTGTGGTTTTCCCCTGTTTGCACTATTTGTGCAAAGCAGACATCAAAACACATCCTGGACCTGTAAATGGTCTGGGCCAAGACTGAATCAATATTGATCTTTTAATCTGGCTCTGAGTCTGAATCTTTAGTCTTTAGTTGTTTTTAAAATAGGGTATAGGGTTGAGTCAAAGTTAAGGTCAAAAGTTGAAAGGAGCAATGATAGGATTCAGCTGTGATTTAAAAAAACAACAACAACTTCAAATCAAAACAAAGTCAAACTCCTCTGCTGACCAAAGAGAGTAAAGGCATTTTGTCCAGGGTGTCAACCTTTTGCTCACAAGGAGTCTTGAAATGTGTTCAGACCAAATGTGAAGCAAATTTTTGGACCTCATTTGCATGGCTGCTGGATTGCCAGCTGCTCTAACTGTTGTGCTAATAACTGGAGAAGGTGGCTAGCGGCTATTTTCAGAACTCACAATCCTGTCCTTTGGCTTCGCTCACTTTTCTTCAAGTCCTCACTTTTTTGTTTTGTCTACAGTACTTACTTTGAGTCACAGAGCTGAGGGTGCCCACAGACAGTGACAATAAGTTTGTTCATTTTTGATTCATCTATGACATCAAGAGAATTTTAACGCTAATAGGCTTTCGCAACAGAGCGTCATGACAATTGTTTTTGTATTTGTGTCTATTTGAGTCACCTGCACAAATTTGCATCTATTCTCATCTTTGTACTGACTTCGCATGTAATTGTGCCATACAAAAAAGTTGCTTTGCGTTTGTTCTGAACACACTTACAGAGTGTCTTTGCTTCCTCTTGAAAAAGATTCTCTCACACGTGAAGAAACCTTTCAGCAGAGAGAGGAGCATCAAGTAACAATGACCTCTGCCTCCTCACAAGTTCCTAAATTACTGACTGTCTGGCCAGATCAGAAAAGTTTTCCAGTACAGGCCATGAGCAAGAAGAAATCAAGACATAAAATCTATTATTAGCTACCACATTTGAAAAGCACTATAGGGGCAAATCAACAGTGCACATTCTTTGCAAAATTAAACATTAAAAACAACACAGCTTATACCTAAAAGACAGAATAGGTCATTTGCCAATGACTCCCTAAACGACATAAATCAGGGATGTAAAAAAAAAAAAAAAAAAAAAAGTTGCTTTTCGGGGAATGCCAATTATTTTTTCCTTCATTTATTTTTCATGTTAATTTGGCTACTGAACATACAGTCACGTAAATGCTTTTAAGCTTGTGTTTCTTTCAGCACAGCTCAGCTTT